GATTTTGATGTAATATCTGTATATGTATCAAATCAACCTTATTTCTATAACATCACGTATTTATGTTCCTAGGTGTTTGAAACTGCCCACGATGACCTTCCACGAAACCATCACCTTGAAGAGCCCTTACGGTAAGCTACAACAGATCATTGATATAAAAGAATCAATCGCGTCATGTTAATTGAAATTATCATTACGTACCATTGTCATTGCGTCATTGTGATGTCATAGTCATTCTGTCATTTTCATTGCACCTATCATTCAGTTCCATTGTCGTTATCAATGAGATATCAGTCGTTGTGCATTNAGATAGGTGACTAACCCAAGAAAAAACATCAAATTGCCGAAAATGAAATTTCTTTTATATTAACGGTGCATTAGTTTTCTTTAAGTATGAGTTACATTCAGATTTGCACTCTTTGTTTCATAATCCCCAAGACCTGATTGATTCTGATATCATTATCACAAAGGTTATAATATGTACTTATTGACTGATTTTCCCGTACGGCCCGACCTAACTCAGTCAATAAGCATTTTATCATATGACAGCGTTTTTTAATGTAAAAATACAAAATAAAAGCGCGCGGAACTTCAAGCCGGGAAGATACGGGTTTGTATGGTCCTGTCGTGAAAAGGCGTACGGTCCCCATCAAGTGACCATTTTCCGAAGGTTTTTTAAGAGCGCGCCTAGGGCCGAAATACGGGTTATATGATAATAATTAGTAAGCTGTAGGCTCTGTTGTACAGCAATCTAATCAGAAGTGCACTGTCACTTTAATCACCAGTAGCGATTTATAAGACACCAACTCGACTGAACATCACTTTACAAGTCAATACAAAATCAGGCCAAACCCAAACAATAATTCGATATCAACCAGTTACGGGAGTTCCATGTATTTCAGGGGCGCAGCTTCATTTTTTTGGCAGGAACTAAGAAAAAACACCCCGTAGGTCTTAGGACTACCAACACTCTCCCTGTTGTTGTTGTTGTTTTGTTTTGTCTTGTTTTTCTCAGACAGCTTTTCTTACTTGAAGGCGGATTTTGTTAACAATAATATATATAAAAAATTATCCAAAAATTTAGGAATTAAGCACTGCATTATTTGTGTAATGACTGTAATGGACTCTACGCCGCTGCGTTGAGGGGAATTCCCCGTCTGTGATGTCGGTCACATGATTTATATAAACTACGTCATAAACTTGAACTAAACTGATTATGAAGTACTATTTTTATGTAATTCTCCGGCATTGATCTTCCCCTGCTACGAAATGATTTCCTGGACACAGTAAAACTTCCTAAATATTCAATCARCACTATTTCTGGTAATTCACTGATGGTACGCGATATTTGATTTTGAATTGCAAGATTCAACTAGTGCTGAAATTGTGGAACAAGCGTCAAACTAGTATAAGGTGCGCCGATGCTTCCGTGAAGAAACAGTTGAGAAGTAAAAGAAATTTTCTAAAATAAACTTMCGACTTTTTGGACGTTTATCCTTCGTCGGAGTAAATCTTATTTCACAACTAAAACTGGTTGTAGTTACCAAGTAGGGAGTCATTGAAGGATTTTTCATGTCTAAGAACTTAAAAGTGTTTTAAAAAGGTTCATTCGAAGCTGTGAACGAAGTTTGGCAACCTACATTTTGTCCTTTCATTATTTTAWATTTGGCCAATGAGTTGGAACCTTTGACAAACTGAATAAGTACTAAATCAAACTTTTTCCATTTCAAACCGTAGAATTAGAACAAAATACRCAAGAGAAATCACAATGTCCACATTTATCACTAAAAGGATACCTTCCAACGACTAAAGGTTCTGTTGTTCGACCACAATGGACCGTCTCCGCAGTGAAAACGTTCCTCTTGGTTTCTGTTCTGTTTTCTGCTTTATTATTTAACATACTTGGTTGACGCTCTGGACGAACTAGCTATACTATTATTTTTACATTGCTTGATATACGTTAGTTACAAAATGAGACGAAACCCAAATAATAATTTGATACTAACAACAAACAATAACCAAATATGGATTAGCTCCTACTAGGGGACCCTAGGGGAATTCCTCGTTCAGTACGATCCTTGGCTTATTCTACAAATATCGATCACGTGAATATCTCTAAACTGCGTCACAAACTTAAACTTAGTAATTGCTTATAAAAATACGTTAATAATGATACTCGAATATTTCCTAGTTATTCTGTAAATTCAATACTGATCTTAACCCTACAGTATAAGAATTGCTGGACATTAAAACTACTGGTAATTCAAAACTATTTTTCCTGGTAATTTGAAACTACTGGTACATGACTTGGCATRTTTCAATTTCCAGACCAAACTATAAAACTGCTGACGGATCAATTGAAATTGTTACAAAATCTATTATTAACTGAATGTCAGGAAGACGTAGTCTAACACTGCACYAAATGTACAGAATCCACTTCGACTATAGTGGTTCAAAGGCATTCAAAGACTCTTCTTTGCGAATTCTTTGCCTCTCAATTCGACTACTGCTTCGAATAACTTCATAATGCTAACATATTGTAGTAGATTATCAGTCTTCTAAACTGCAAAAGGGATGTACCCCAAACAAAACTTTCTTTGAAATATAATATAAAAATTAGGTAACACCTAATAGCGGAGCTCCAATAGCAAAGCTACAAAGCTACTATTTCAAGGACAGTCGTTTAGTAGAGATGCACTGTTTCAAGGAATTAATTATGTTGACATGTTTATTCATTAGCAAACGAGTATTTTTATGACAATTTCGTACTCTAAATTTAATATTGACTTCGGTAGATTTTGTTCCGTTGGACGAAGTTATTATAATCTGTAAAGGTCAATTGATTTAAACTAAACTGAAATGAAAGCTTCTCGGCAAAAATAGTCTTATAAGCTTACAATAATAAATCGGATTAAACGCGGCAAAAATTCGATGATTGAGCACCCTCACTACTGGAACTTCACATAACAGCGAAAATGTATAACTTTAAAGTCCTAAGTTACAAAAATATTTTTTTTACCTTTGTTATTGAAGTTCCGATAAATTATAGTTCAAAGGACATCGATCCTTCAACAGAATAGGTTTCATCAATTTATAAAGTTATTCAAAGCCGTAATTTTGTTGATTCTCTGTTTTTTTAAATCTCGACAAATCGGCGAGTTGTCAATTAACATATTTTTTCTTTTTTTAAGTTCCAACAGAATCTTTCCCGCCCTGTTTGCTGTCAGATATTTTGCTTCCGTTAAAAATAGGGAGTGTATATGAACTTGTCAGGCAGCCTGGCGAATTGATCGAAGTGGTTTGTTGTTGTATTTTTTTTTTTTTTTTTTTTTAATCGCAAGAACAATAATACTGAATTCTAAAATATTTAGGATACTACGCGCGCTGTGATTGGTCGAAAACCATGTTTGATTACAGTATCAAAACACGCTCGCGCGCGTCAAAAATTTCTTTTTTCCCGCCGTTTGCATTTGTTGTTGTTATTATTCATTTTCAAGAACAATGAACGAAGAAATGCCTATTTATGATGTCCTCTGGGATGATATCCCAGAAGAAGAGCTATCAAACGTTTTAGAAGCTACAGAAGCTGCAGACAACTGATGTAAGGAGAATTCATCGTTTCATATCGTATCAAAAGTCAGAATTCTTTACAATTTTCGTATTCTTTTAATTTTAGAAAAGAAATAAAAGACGAAATTCCGTGTTTGATACTCTGATCAAAACACTTGGGATGTAGGGAGAGCACTCGAAAAGCTGGAAACCACTCCGCTACGCGTCGTGGTTTCCTACGCTTCTCTCGTGCTCTCCCTACATCCCGCGTGTTTTGATCAGAGTATCAAACACGGAATTTCGTCTTTTATTCCTTAAATAATACTGTTTGACAAGGTTGTATGCACAAGCACGGCACTTTGAGATTATATGCAGTATATTGGAAGATAAAAAATAGGGTTTATGCTAGCAAAACTCGATTCTTTTTAATGATGTCGTAGCCAGAATGATCCAGTTAAAATGCACCTTTGAATCTATGCGCAGCTCGCATGCACCATTGTTCTTTATCAACCAATGACAAGCTCATGCATAATATACAATTAATCACAAAAGACGTGATCTTGCCTCGTAGACTGCATAGTCAAGCCTTCCTAGCTGCTTCAAGCGCGGTTGGTTTCTTCCAGTCCTTTAAGCAGCTACAATCGTTACCCTAACATTTTTCTCCTTTATTTTTCACAGTTCCCCCCCCCCTCTTATCACCCTTTCATCAATGTTGGATCTTGTTTTGGATGCTCGTGTACCATGGTAACATTGCATTTAGGGTTTTTTTGTTGYTTAATTATCCTAATGATAAAGTTAATTATCCAATTATAAAAGGGACGGGAGTTCCTATTGATCAATCAACCGACCAACGGAAAGCACGACTTGCTGACAATGCGCATCGAGAAGTGTGTGTTTCCATATTCTAGATTTTTCTCTTATTCGTTTGCAAGCAAAGTGCAAATCCTTCGCCTCACCCCTAGMGGTAAATTAATGACTGGTCCCCAACTTTAGACTGTATTCTTGAGACAAACCATTAGAGAAATCGAATGGGGTCATACTCATTTTTTGAGCAGGAATTTGTTTTGTCTTTTCTTTTTCTTTTTCTTTTTTTCTTTTTTTTTTTTTTTTTTTTTTTTTTTAGGAATAGATAGATTTAATATGTTATCGACCTAACACCTATTAAGTAAGGAAAACGGCATTATGAGCACCAGGTTTGGTCTGGAAGAGCGTTGGATAAAATTTGACTGCGATAAAAACGTAGTTTATTCATCACAATAAGGATTTTTTGACCAGCAATCATTTTATAGAATGAGAATTTTAAATTTGAGTTGATCAGATGAATTTTGAGCGTCTCCTATCAACTCCTTTTATATTACAGACCCGGGAGGGAGCTCAAATATTAACTATGAAAACTCACCTAATTCACATGGAAGTCGTTCAGTTGTAAGAAACATTTATGAACACAGGGTAGAACGTTTAGTGCGTTTTATTTAACTTTAGATTAAAACGTTTCGAGTGTTGTTTATTCCCATACATTCTCTATAATGTACCAACTGATAGCCAGCTTGGGCTACCTGTGGTCAGGCTGCCTGCACACATTGTTGCACCGTCCGTCAGACTCACAATCTTCGTTACCTGGAAACGATAAATAAGACATCATGCTGATTTCACTAGTACTACTACACCTTTTGCAGTTTATCAACAGACAAGGAATATTCATATCAGAGAAGACGCATTGTTTTTGAACAGTATCGAGAGGTGACAGATTTATTAGCATTTTCGTTCAAACAATAAACAAAAGCACACAACAACAGGAGGAGCCAATGGCGTCTGTTCTTTTAAATAAACCGTTGTTGTACGAATTTTTTTTCTTGGAAAGGGTTTTTGTACTACATTGTTAACAAACGTACACAAGCAAATGTCGCGCCCTTCATCTCAAAAAAAATTTGCTCCTGGCAAACCTGTTTATGGTCAAAAACGGCATATATTTTTTTAGTTAGGATATTTTTCTTTTCCTGGTAAAAATTCTTAGAAAGTATTGCTTTCCTGGAGAGTTCTTTTTTCCTGAATTTCTCGCTGGCAACCAATTGTGAATTACACCTGGCTTTGACAAAAGAACAGATACATTTCTCCCAAGAATCCATCGGCTCCTCCTGATTCAATACCGTATTTTGGACATTTACTTGCGCAATAACATACAATGTTTAAGGGAACGTTGCAAGATACGATTTTTACAAATCATTTTTCATGATACTGTTTTTCATTTTTAATGCTTTTAAATCTATTTTCAGTTTACATTTTGTCTGATGATACATTGAATGAGTAATTTGAAACGAGATTTRAGGGGAAAATCGTCTGTGTAGCAAGCATCAAGAATTTAAGAAACGAATCAGTCGCGAAAAAAAACCTCGCCAATTAAAAATCGTCTCTTGTAACATCGTCTTAAGTGTTCTTGCATACATAAAGGAATGTCTAAAACACTATACTGATAATGAGATTTTGGTGTACTCTCCGTGCTGTTTTTATTCTAGGTCTAATAAGGATTCAGTCCTTTGTTAAGAAATATAAGAACGGTTAATTTGATTTTATCCATAGAGTCTAGAAAAGGAGGGGAGCTGTCTGTGGAAAGTGCACAAAGTATTCTGGTATTCTGCGCAACCGCAGTTCAGGCATAATTTTAAAAAAATGGGTATATAGAAGAAAAATTGAAATTTTGTTCGATATAAGAATAGTTACTTATGCCGACCAGGATGTTTGAAAAATGCTTCAAAACAGGGGGAAATTTCGTTGTTTCATTACGTACCTAACCCACATCTTCTGCATTTTTCAGTGTTTTGGCTGGTTCCTTCACATCTACCTTTTGATCCGGGTGGAGGATTATCACAATTCCGTGTTCTTCTACGAATTCCTGTACCACATATCACACTGCATCGACTCCATGAAGACCATTGTCCCCAACCACCAGGTCTGTAACTTGCGTACGCCGTATTCATCCGATGAATGAGCTCTAATCAAACGGCATATCAAATAATTAAGGTGGCTTCCTAAAGTTTTTTTTCGACCATACCTCTCATTTTAAATTCGCTCTTTGAAAATCTTGCTATGCACCGATTTGTTTCGTGTTTGGACCAGTATTAACGTATTGACCAAAGTTTGGTTTGCCATAATATTTAGCTCTATCAACGTTACCTAGGCAACGGAATTTGCATTTTGTCGAAATTCGTTTTTCCCAAATATCTCAAAAAAATTGATCAGATCCAGAAAAGACATCATCATTAACTTCAAACTATTGCATAATGTTTTGGAATAGTTTCGGCAGATATATTTCTTGAAATGATCTGAAAATAACGAAATTCATTGAACATATGGTTGTCTTCGTTTTGATTTTGCCTGCTGTTTAATTTCTACCTTACAAGATATTGAGGCGAGTATTTATGTACTGAAGTTTCAATGTTGACAATATCAATCTTTACTTCAGTGCCGATCACCCTTTGCTAATGCTTGCTTTTGTATGTGAAAATTAAAACAGTGCTGCTATTTGCCCAACTTCAGCGTCATTTAGCACGAAAATTTGACTTTCGCCCGTGAATAAAAATAGAACTGAGTGAATGTATTACTTCTAGTAATTTCAGAAATGAAGTCATTTTTAAAATATAATTATTCCATAGCATAGATCGTTCGACGTTGTAGTTCAACTTTCGCGAATGGCTGACGTCTCGTGGGTGAACTGTTGTTACGTATGAATCCCTGTAAGCAAAGGTGTAAATTCGTCGACATAAGATCGAACATGCACTTGGCTGACTTTTTTTCCACAAACTACACAACCACTCTATGACCTTTATTTTACAGTCATCTACAATAGGGCGCAAATCTGCTGGCGGGTAATAATAATAATAATAATATAATATAATGCTATTTATATAGCGCTTATCCAATTCTGTTCTAAGCGCTTTAAAACTACATGACAACTACAAAACACATGAGAGCCTTGGTAGACTGTGAGCTTGAGTTGGCGCCTCTGGCTGCCGCTGCACAGTCCGTCCCAAGATCTCAAACTAAAAAAGCACAACAACCAGATTACATCACAATAAACAAGTCAAATGTTTTTGCATGATGGCCGGTGGCTCAAATGAGCTCATTCGCCCTTTGACAGGTTTTGTTTTTAGTCCTGCTGGGTGTCATGCCACCCTCCTCACCAGTGTAGATTGGTGGGGGTGCCGGTTTAGACGCCGACGACCCGTCCATGAGGCAGGTTGTACTGGGTTACAATGTTACCAGTAGCAGACTACATGACGGGCTCATACCAGCGGTTATTACCACTAATGATGTTTTTCGCGCACGTGCGCAGACAGAATGCCTACATGCTTTAGTTCTGTACTTCTGTGTGACAACTCACTGTGATTCGAAAGTCTCTGTTCCCAGAATCACGGACAAATCCCTTGCCTAGAGAGCTGTCTTTGCCAATATTGTGTCAATATTGGAGCCACCACGCTAATCAAGTCGACAATTATACACTTTATACCTCTTAAAGGAGGTGTATAAAACCATCGCAAAGCGTAAGAAATACTGCTCCAGTACCTCGGACATTTCATCAAAAACCGCTTATAATTATTTCATATTCATCTAAACGCATTACTAAGAAATGGGCATTGCCGCTGCTAGTTGACTGCTGTTATGCACGTTCTACTAGTTGCAGAAAATCTGCAAAAAATCTTTCTGTATCTGGCAGCCACCGTGAGTGTAGACGACAGTTTATACTATATGATTTCTCATTGTAATTAGCATAAATTAATATTGATTATGTAAATTTAAGCCTCGGCGGCACATTGTTTCTTATCGTAGAAGGTACACATGTATGGTAAGTGCTCGTTTATTTAGGTATTTTTAATCGTTTTTTCATAGCCTTTAAGTTTCTTTTGGTCTGTAGGAATATTCTTTGTAAGTTTATCTTTTGTTTTGTGATCTTTAGTGAACCGTTACTGACGTTACTGCTGGTTTAGAACAATAAAAGGAGATTGTTGTTTGTAGCGTGTCTCGCACGTGTTTATCTTTNATAATGCTATTTATATAGCGCTTATCCAATTCTGTTCTAAGCGCTTTAAAACTACATGACAACTACAAAACACATGAGAGCCTTGGTAGACTGTGAGCTTGAGTTGGCGCCTCTGGCTGCCGCTGCACAGTCCGTCCCAAGATCTCAAACTAAAAAAGCACAACAACCAGATTACATCACAATAAACAAGTCAAATGTTTTTGCATGATGGCCGGTGGCTCAAATGAGCTCATTCGCCCTTTGACAGGTTTTGTTTTTAGTCCTGCTGGGTGTCATGCCACCCTCCTCACCAGTGTAGATTGGTGGGGGTGCCGGTTTAGACGCCGACGACCCGTCCATGAGGCAGGTTGTACTGGGTTACAATGTTACCAGTAGCAGACTACATGACGGGCTCATACCAGCGGTTATTACCACTAATGATGTTTTTCGCGCACGTGCGCAGACAGAATGCCTACATGCTTTAGTTCTGTACTTCTGTGTGACAACTCACTGTGATTCGAAAGTCTCTGTTCCCAGAATCACGGACAAATCCCTTGCCTAGAGAGCTGTCTTTGCCAATATTGTGTCAATATTGGAGCCACCACGCTAATCAAGTCGACAATTATACACTTTATACCTCTTAAAGGAGGTGTATAAAACCATCGCAAAGCGTAAGAAATACTGCTCCAGTACCTCGGACATTTCATCAAAAACCGCTTATAATTATTTCATATTCATCTAAACGCATTACTAAGAAATGGGCATTGCCGCTGCTAGTTGACTGCTGTTATGCACGTTCTACTAGTTGCAGAAAATCTGCAAAAAATCTTTCTGTATCTGGCAGCCACCGTGAGTGTAGACGACAGTTTATACTATATGATTTCTCATTGTAATTAGCATAAATTAATATTGATTATGTAAATTTAAGCCTCGGCGGCACATTGTTTCTTATCGTAGAAGGTACACATGTATGGTAAGTGTTCGTAAATATTTAGGTATTTTTAATCGTTTTTTCATAGCCTTTAAGTTTCTTTTGGTCTGTAGGAATATTCTTTGTAAGTTTATCTTTTGTTTTGTGATCTTTAGTGAACCGTTACTGACGTTACTGCTGGTTTAGAACAATAAAAGGAGATTGTTGTTTKTAGCGTGTCTCGCACGTGTTTATCTTTCGAAGAACAGTGTGTCCACGAAATGCATGAAATGTCCAATACAGTGAGGCTCCAGTCGCCGCCATTTTGTTTCATCTTCTTGGCTGCGAAAAGCCTGGGTAACAAACGTCACTTTCGCTTCTGTTTGCCTGACGTCACTTCGTTCTTTGTCTTTTAGTTTTATTTTCATGACGTTGATGTAAGTGCATTATATATAATGTCGATGTAAGGCAAATGCTTTCAATTACGTTATTTTACATATAGTATCAATGTGAACAGTTTCAAATACGTTGTATTTTGTATGGTTTAAATGTAACAATGTTGACGCTTCATACGGACTGTCAGGATACGCTTGAATGATCACGGACTTTTTGTCACCATTAAGTTTGATATGTAATACCTTAACTTGTAGTTTATGGATTCATTTTGAATAAAATGTTTTACAGCAATGGTTTATGTCAGAAATGGTTTATAATCCCATTCCAAATCTCTTTTCCGGGATCATTCGGAAAGATTTCCGGATTTTTTCCGGGGACGCTTCGGGTTATTTCCGGGCCATCCGGAGAGCCCCGGGACTTTCCGGTCCTAACCGGTCCTTTCCGGACCTTTCCGGACCATTCGGAAATTTCCAAAGTATTATATGCTTTTTAAAACAGTATGAAACAAGTGAAATATAGATACCAATCGTTAGAAATATAAAAAAGGTTAAAATTTAATTTAATTTAAATTTTTAACATTACTTTGGTTATTCAAACTCCTTAAGCAGGTGACCTATTGTCTCAGAACAAAGGCAAGATTTAGCTAGGTTTAGAAGTGGCTTAGGGTTAGAGTTTGGACTAGGTTAAGGGTTTTTGGGTAGGGCTAGTCACGTGACCAGACACTCCCAACCAACTTTGACACCACTTCCGAATTTCGTACTGACATATGACTATGCTCAACTATCTAGAGTTCTTTGGTGATAAGTATGTTCAAAGATTACCACCCCTGATACTTCGTTTCCAGGTCATTTTAAAAACTTCAAGGATTTGATCGCGAGGCAAACTCGTTCCCGGGGGAGTACTAACGCACGACTCTCAAAACCCTTACCCTATCCCAGACCAATTTTTTTGATTTTACATACCCTAGCCCAGACTAAAGGTACATTATTTTAGAGCTAAAAGCGTGACCTAGCAGATACGATCACAGGCAAAACTCCACCCTACCCCAGACTATACCCTTTCCTAGACAAAAAAAAACTACCCTATCGCAGACAAAACTACTACACTATCGCCAGAAAAATGGGCAAAAAATGATACCCTATCCCAGACTTGGATCTCTGAAAAAGGAACCCTATCCTGCGGCACATACCCGTATAGCAAATATAGGGGATTAACCCCCACCCCACCCCCCACCCCCCACCCCTCCTCTCCCCCCGGGAACTCGTTCGATCAGAGCAAAGTTCAAACTGAAGAATGTTCAAATAGACCGATGTCCAAGGCAGCATGTAAAATTCAGGTCGAGTATAAACTTTCCACGAACTGTGAATTTTAAAGTCGAGGAACTGCTCACATRCTTYACTTGCTAATTCCCACTCGATTGGAGTCCACTACCTGCATASCATCGTCGTAATAGAGGTTAAATGCTTCTTCATTTTCGAACATTATACAAATATCATCTCAAATATGTTCTCTTTAACTTGGTAGTTTAAATTTGCAAGCTTCGCACTCAGAATTTATCAGTTGCCAAATTCGATACTCGCATAAAGAAGCATAAGAGAGTTGTAAGACCGTTGATATCAGCTCCAGAAGGAAAGCACGTTCACCCAATTCAACTTCGTCAATCTGAATTTTATTCATTGCAGTATAAATCTTCAACAGTTATTGATCGTTTTCAATTGATCGTTTCCATTCCCATGAGATTCAAAAGATAAAAGACCGGCGGCCATGTTGGAGGAATGAACAATAGATACTAATGAGAAATCCTTTGTTAAAGTTCCTCCAACATGGCCGCTGTGACGTAACCTGAAAACGAAGAATATGTAACTTACAAGTCATTCAGAGAGCAGAGTGACTAACAGGCCAGATTCATGTAATAAACAAGCTCCCTGAACCGCCCTGAACCCTACACATCACAAGCCACAACCTACAACTCACAACCACCCACAACCACCTACAACCACCAACAGCCCACAGGTATAATTCCATGCACACACTACTACTATCATCTCGTTTCTAAAATTTAACAAGCGCGGCTCGTAAACATTAATAAAACAAATTGCTACGATAAAAGTCTAACATGACTAGAACACTTATATTTCAGTTAAAAAAAGAAAGAAAGAAAGAAAAAGAATTTTTCAGAAGTGCTCCAGTTTAGGATCGAATCTTGGATTATGGGTCCCTTGGGATTGCTAAACTGCGAAGTGAAAAAAAATAGAGTCGCTGCATTTTATAACCGTGCCACAGGCCTTCGGCCTGGACATGGTAATTAGAACTTTATTTGTCATTTATTTTATTCAGTGCAGGCAAACTTTGGCACTGAAACACCGTTATACTCGTAATATTTGCTTTCCCATGATCCCTTTCGGTCTTAGCGTCGATGATGTAATCTTTTGGAACCCGACTAGGGTTTGTCTAGGATARGTTATAGTCTCATTGTCTAGGGTAGGCTAGAGTTTTGTCTGTGATCGTATCTGCTAGGTCACGCTCTCAGCGCTAAAATAATGTACAGTTTGTACCGTTAGTCTGGGGTAGGGTATGTAAAATCACAAAAATGCAATGCAAAAATGCAATTTTCAGCATACAGTATAGAGTATTCAACTTTATCAGCTAAAATAGGTGTATACAGGGAGGGCATATATAAGGAGGGCAATATTGACGCAACGCAAGTTAGTGTGCTTGCATACCTAAACAATAGTGGGTGTCTTTTGTTTCAAAAATACAATTTTTGAGAGCCCCATAAACTTCACTTAATCGTTCACTTGCTGTTTTAATAGTAAAAAACAGTATCATGAACGTAATGGCAATGGCTTTCATTTTCGTCTCTCTACTGATGAATGGGCTTGTAAAGACTCTTGCTTCCAGTCGCTTTCCTAGTGTTTGTGTCTAAAGGTGAAAACCAGCGATTTCTAGTCATTTATAAAATACATAAATAGTTCGTTCACTAAATCATCATGACAAGTCAACACAATGGGAGGTTTTGTTGAATTTGTAAAGTGTAAAACTATAGCTAYTATTCTTTCTAATAGTTGTTTATCATTATTTCCGCATGTCTAGTATATCTGGCCCATGGTTTCTCATCGCCAATGGGTGAAATGACATAATATTCGATTATGATTCAACAACAAATTGTTCATTCATGCATAACACTCAGGTGTAGAAAATAGAGGATATCACATGGGCGCGCGGAGATACTGATTTCATCTTCGTGATTTACAACAGCTTTACAACACGAGAAGATAAAATCCATATTTCCAAGCGACCATGTAATATTCTGTCTACCATATAATTACATATTAAACCAAACTATGTCGTAAAATACCTTTTTTTTACTTCCACTATATAGAGAAACCTCAAATGTGTTATTTCCACTAGTGAAAATAGTAACTTTATGTAATGGAGATATAATTTTATCATATAATTATCTATGAAATACCTATATTTCTGCAATACCTACATTTCTCAATTTCGTAAGTTTGATATCTTCACTAGTGAAAATAACACATTCGAGGTTTCTCTATATAGTGAAAGTAAGAAAAAAGCTATTTTACGACATAATTTGCTTTCGTATACAATTATATGATAAATAGAATATTACATGGGCGCGCGGAGATACGGATTTTATCTTCTCGCGTTGAAAAGATCTCTCACGAGTGAGCGTACTTAGAAGCATTTCTTGTAAAATTTAAATTATTTTTACTGCAAGACAAAACGTTAGTTTATTTGATCAAGAAAAATAAAGATGAAAAACAAAATCTCACGGTAAATGACAAGGAATAAGCTTCCTTCGAATTGACAATTTTCATAAGTCGTGATGTAGAGCTTTTTTGTCATCAAAATTAAATAAAATTCAACCTACCTGAATAAATTGACTTCTCTTCGATCCAGAGATATTGAACTGAAAGCTCTGTTTTCGTCCTCCTTTTTAAACTTATCCAGCTGTTGTCTTCCTACGAAAAAAAAAGAAAATTAATGTAAGGCGAAAGAATTGTAGAATATAATAGCTAGAGTTAATTATCCAATTATAAAAGCGACGGGTTTTTCTATCAATAATATCATACCTATATAMAATACTCGATTCTGATTGGCTGACAAACCGTGAATCTTTTCTTATTGGTGCAATTAATTAATACCACGCGTGCTATAAATTAATTGSACGAATCTATCCCAGAGGTCTTCGATGATATMACCATTTATGTAATTGTAAATAATACAAGTTTTAATTGTTGGCAACAGACGGAAAGTTGATGAGATAACAAGTTTCAGCATTGAAACCAATGGAAAAATAATAAAAACTATCAGCCAAGTAATTTGGCTTAACATAAGGATAATTAAAATAGTAAATATAAATTAGGAAAAAAAATAAATGAACAAAGTATAAAGCTAATTACATGATAGTTGCCACAATCAATATGAAAAAAAAACTCAGGCCCGTAGGCTGACTTACAAATGGGAGGGTTCGTTTTTTTATAATGCTGATGGGCGCATGTGCAATTTCTCGACAACAGCTGATTATACCGTGCAGCTCTCAAGCAAGCTATTTCTCAATTTCTCAACGACAATGACTTTTGGGGCAGGTTGCTTAGAAGTTATAATTATATATGATTTTCTGAAAAACTTAGCCTGGTGTTCAGGGCTCAAATATGGACTCCCTTGCACACCAAAACATCGGATAWTCGCCTGCTTTGCTCTGTTTTACATTTTTAAAATGTGATATAGGCTCTAATATTACACATAAAAAAAAACATAAAATGTAAGCGTAGACCCTAGAAACTGTATATATACTTTTAAATGACTCATTCTGAGTCATGTGTATAGGGAGAATGGGAGAATGTGCTGTAAAAGAACCAGCATAGTCGTGGGTGTTCTGACTGACATGCATAATATCTAATATTTCTACGCGTTGTGTTCATCAATTGAAGTTCTTAGAAACATGGTATTTTCGTTAATTGACGGCGACGCGTTTACGCAATAAACATTAAAATAGGTACAGTTCATCAGAGAAGCGACGGGTGTTTCTAAAACCAATCAACTAACCAAAGAAAAACATCACCTACCAATTAAAGGATCTAGATTTATAAAACCATTTGTAGTGCGCATCAATTTAGAAAAATCCGGTTGAGGGAAGAGGAAGTTTTGGGTATGATTACTTTTCTAGAGATCAATGCCYGTAGGAGTTTTCTATGGARAACTGCAACAAMAAAAAMTAGGAGAATTTTCCATGATTTTTTCTATGGCTGARTTTTTCTSGGAAATTTCACCTYCMCATTTCAGGGATCGCAAGAGGAGCGCTACGCAAGCTGCAATTGTATCTTTCATACCGGACGCCCGTAATCAAAACAGATAAAGACTTGCACTGATATTMAACACTRAATTTCCTGAATTCCGGCTTCGYTTCGTTCAATSCCGTGKCAACGCATCTTTTTTTCAGACAARGAAATCTATAAAATTAATTGTTTTTCTTTTGTTAATTCAAATTGTTTTTTTAATGTTGTTAAAAGAATATCAAATGCAGCTATTAAAGTACGAAGTCAATTTTAATTACGGATTTTTAAAACTATATTGAAATATTTTGATTAAAATTGTACCACTATAAACGATTTTTTAATAGTGAGAGACAAAGAAATTGAAAAATACATGTACACCACGGGGATTGCAAGCCTGGTGCACTACCCATTTGATATAAAAAATATTTCCCCTTATCTTTTTTTATTGTAATGTTTCCTGTATAACAGCATTAAAGGTAATGAGAACAGATTTCAAATAGTATTTCGTAAAATAGGAGAGAGGTTATAGATATTTATGTATACATTGGTTTCAGATAAAAATCCTTATCGCGAATAMTCATTTTAAATGATTCATTAACAAATTATACATCATTTGAGAATTTATACAGCAAAGCGTACTATGTCACTCAGCAAAGTGACTGCTTTTTCATGTTCAAGGAAAAATAGTTGATATAGTTTGGAGACGTTTCGTCTGAATTACGCGCTGCCGTGAACGTTTTTTCTTTTTGTAAACACATCGTAGACCMCGCTGTGTGCACTGTAAACCTGAAAACCCTTTTCACACTTTAGACCAAAGCGAGGCCCAATCGGGCAACATGTTTGCTACAGTCCTCACATAAACAAATCATGACTTAGCTTCTTTTACCATCAAATAATATTTGAAATACATTGCAAAAAGAACAAGCTTAAAAGGAACAATTTTTTGTGGGTTGTACGATTCTGCGTCACTTTTGTACAAAAACACAAGTACCCCGCGCAACCACGAAGAAGTCTTGAGCTTTATTTCATCTTACGGCGGTTTTTTTTTTTTTTTTTTTTTTTTTTTTTTTTTTTTTTTTGAATGCCTTGTGCGCATTGCAACGCAAACTCTTTGATGTTTTTTTCTCGTTTGTTTATTTTTTAACTTAAAAGTTACAAAAGATTTCTAAAAGTGATTCGTGATAAGACACTTGATAACTATCAGGCGGAGCAACCAGACAGAACTATATACAGCACCTAGCAACTGAGCTAACTCCAACACAACCACTAAAAATAATATGAAAGCTTTGGTAATTTTACTCAGTTCTTTCGGAATGCTCTCTTCTTCTGCTTTCCAAACTGCTGAAGCTCATTGTCGCACCTCGGTCAAGGGAATGCAACTTGCAAACAGTGTCATGTCGGCTTTGAACATTGAGGATAGCGAAAGCTGTTACAGGTCTTGTGCTGCTAAGCCAGGCTGTCAGAGCATCAATTACTACAARGACAAGACACTTTGTGAGTTGAATAACAGAAAAATTGAAAATACGCCCCATAAAACTGTCTTCAATGAAGATTGTGTGTACTTCAAAATTCAAGGTAGTAAGGTTTATTAATTCCTTTTTTTTATTTATCATTAATTTTCTCGAAAAATCAAAATCCTAGCAAATGCTTCTCGAACTATTATTCCGGACCTTTCTGTATTTACATGTCAAACTAAACCCAAAAACCGCGAGGGAAAAATGATCACATTCTTTTCATTCCTGGGTTTTTTTAATTATTATAATTTTTTTTTTTTTTTTGGCCGGGTACCCAACTGATTTCTAGTACAAAAATTGTTTATTTTCTGGATGACTAACATAGTGTTCATATAATGTTTCCTATATTCATAATGGATCTTCAAACAGATCTTCATCAAACTGAGATAAGGAAAATTTACATATAAAAAAAACATTCATTTTAGGTATTAGTTTTGACTTTCTTTTTTTCTATTAGATCCACTACCCCCACCAGGTAAGTGCAAAAAATATAGTTAGTAAACATTAATGAATTAATAAAAAAGATTACGGTGATATCATTAATTTTTCAAAGTATTGATACATTGAACGACTCCAGTTGTATATCAATTCACTGGAAAAAATCGCGCGCTTTAAAGGTTGTAAATTTGATGTAAATATGANATCAGAGTATCAAACACGGAATTTCGTCTTTTATTTCTTTTCGAAAATTAAAAGAATACGAAAATTGTAAAGAATTCTGACTTTTGATACGATATGAAACGATGAATTCTCCTTACATTGCAGTTGTCTGCAGCTTCTGTAGCTTCTAAAACGTTTGATGGCTATTCTTCTGGGATATTATCTCAATGGACATCATAAATAGGCATTTCTTCGTTCATTGTTCTTGAAAATAAATGATAACAACAACAAATGCAAACGGCGGGAAAAAAGAAATTTTTGACGCGCGCGAGCGTGTTTTGATACTGTAATCAAACATGGTTTTCGACCAATCACAGCGCGCGTAGTATCCTAAGTATTTTAGAAAGTGATATCATGAATTTTTCAAAGTATTGATACATTGAACGACTCCAGTTTGTATATCAATTGATGTATTAGAGTACAAACACTAAAACTGTGCAACATAAATACCACTAAATACTGCTAAATTATGTTAATTCTATTGTTTACTATTGTTTAATTAGCACTACTAGTTGCTTGAATCTGGCACTAGTTTTTATGTGACTTAAAATTGTCACATATCGAAAATTGCCCGTGTGGACGAGTGTCACATGAAATTGCCACATATAGTTGTCACATAAGTTGCTCGTGTAGACGGAGCTTTATAATACAGGGTTTGCCTCAACTCGGCGGAGAAAATGCGAATTTTCAAGGCTGTTGTAATAACGACATCTCCTCGTGCTCTATTTTGTATTATACAACTTTTCAGTAAAGTCAGACGTTTTGATTGGTTGGCTTTCGTGTGTTATCAAAGTATAGATACACGGATTACGTCAAAACTAATTGTTAGTTGTATAAAACAGATAGATCTTATTTTTCCGTGCGTGTGTACTCTAATAGATACACAGATGACGTCAAAATGTAGTGAGAACAACAGTCACGCACTCGACTGCGTCTCGTGCGTACTTTTTTTTTTCTCACTACATTTTGACGTCATCTGTGTATCTATTAGAGTACACATGCACGGAAAAATGAGATCTATTTGTTAAATTGGATTCTTTGAGCAGCCAAGTGTAGAAGTCGATTTTCTTCTGTCGAATGCGGGATTTTTTTAGATACAAAAATTTTTCTTCTCTAAGAGAAGCTGGAAATGGTTTATTGTCTTTATTTAACAATGCAGGACAGAATCCCCCGATTCCCTCCCTCATTGTTGTCACTTGTCTTAATCTTAGTTCTCAGGAACTGTGGCGAATTCTATGCAAACAGTTTTAAAGAAAGTGATGTATACACCATCGATCCCGATGGTAAAGGAAAATTCAAGGTAATAGCTTTTATTGTAGTTGAGCACGAAATCCCGACATCCAGCGGTATTTTTGTGAGCATAGCATCAAAACGAGGCTATCGGGTCGAGTATCGAACAATCTTCCAAACAATGTACGGAGCTTTATCATGACAAGCGAAAACTCTTCTAATAATCTTCCAGAAAACGCGTTTTATTCGGCCGATGAGAAAGTGCAACTACTTAGTGGTAATTGCCCTCGCAGTATCACGAAAGAGTGGCTAGCCATAATCAATACAGTGCTTGACCATAATCAAAACATCAACAAACGTCTCTTAATCGTAAAAATAAGCTCAAAAAGTATAGAGTAGAGACCAAATTTGCCTAGAATTCCTTAGCAGATTCTTCAACCTTCGACCGGATAGCCTCGTTTTGATGCTATGCTCACAGAAATACCACTGTATGTTGGGTTTTCGTGCTCAACTACGATAAGAGCTATTCTTCCCTTCTAATTTTGTGTATTTAAGATGTACGTTATACAGACTTACAGTTATTTGGACAACTTTCTAGTACTAAACAATAACATTGCAATAATGATTCCTGAGCTCATATTCCAATAAGGTCAATGAGGGTTGGACCATTGGGTCACATGATAATAATGGACCATAAAAATCATGTGTTTATAAAAAAAATAGTCAGTCCAATTGGACGGTTTTGTGGCTAGTTGCGTCGTAAGACGCTAGTCTAGCCACTTTGTTATCAGTCTTGAAAGAAAGAAAGTAAACTTTTCAGACAACACATGCCAGGCGTTCTTGACGTAATGAGCGAGAAGACTAAGACGCGCGCTTTTGATTGGTTACGAAATAGCCGAATAAACCGTTGGTTGTTTTGAAAGAGAATTCTTTTTGCCTTTTTACCGCATAATTCCGACTTATTTTAGATTAATTTAGCGCATAACGCCAGAGTACCTGCTTTATCAGACATACACGTAGCTAGCCACATGTAGTCTTAGAGTTATTACACTAGACGTAATTAGCATTGTACGTTAAGATCATTTACTTGTTAAAAAACCAGTCTTAAATTGACTTGAATATTCCAGGTGTTCTGTGACCAGAAGACCACAGGAGGAGGATGGACAGTTTTCCAGAAAAGAAAGGATGGCTCTGTTGATTTTTACCGCGGCTGGGATGACTACAAGAACGNTTTTTTCCTGGGAAAGGGTTTTTGAGCTACATTGTTGACAATCTCACAAGCAAATGTAGCGCCCTTCCTGCTTTTAAAATAGCTTTGTTCTTGGCAGATGTTTTTAAGGTCATAAAAGGCACGTTTTATGGTAAAAAACGGCTAATATTTTTATTAGTTATGAAATTTTTATTTCCCTGGAAAAAATTCTTAGAAAGTATTCCTTGCATTGGAGAGTTTTTCTTCCTGTATTTCTCGCTGGCAACCAGTTGTGACTTACAGCTGGCTGGGACATAAGAACAGATATATTTCTCCCAGGAACACGTCGGGAAAAATGCAAATTTTCAAGTTTTTATTGTAATAACGACATTTTCTCGTGTTCTCTGTTGTGTTTGTAAAGTCTTTGCGCAAGAGAATCTGTTGTCAAATAAAGCAGCGGTTATTCGCTATGAATTCGAAACTGGAGTATTAGAATTGTACGTTAAGATCATCTTCTGTTAAAAACCCAGTCTTAAATTGACTTGAATATTCCAGGTGTACTGTGACCAGAAGACCACAGGAGGAGGATGGACAGTTTTCCAGAAAAGAAAGGATGGCTCTGTTGATTTTTACCGCGGCTGGGATGACTACAAGAACGKCTTTGGTGATCTAGAGGGCGAGTTCTGGYTGGGTCTCGATAAAATCCACCGACTTACTAATCAAACACGAAAYCGTCTTCGTGTCGAACTTGAGGACTTTAAAGGAAACAGCGTGTATGCAGAGTATGACTACATTGCTGTGTCAAGTGAAAGTAATAATTTCACTCTGAACATTGGTTCCTACTCAGGTATAAATGACTATTTCTCCTTTAGTTCATGTGTTTGCTTGTTGCTTCTTTTGTATTCTATTTTTTCCATTCTCCTGTTGTCTTTTTTTCTTTCTTATTGTTTTTGGTATTTCCACCACAGGCAATTAATACACCTACTTGGAAAAACTTTGTCGAGTCGCAAAAAATTGATACTTATCAAAGCAAATAACAAAGGGGATTTGATTGAAGTAATAAGAAATTTGAATCATTTTTCCAAACATGTAGTACATTACAGCTTTACTCATAGAGGTCATTTTATTTAGTGCAGTAAAACGTTGGACACTGAAACACTGTTATATTCGTAATATTAGTCGTTTTCCCATGCTCCTTTTCGGTCTTAACCTTTTAGAACCTGACTACGTGTCTTTAAATGGGTGTATCACTTCTTTAGAAATGTCTATATAACATTTTCAGGTACTGCAGGCGATTCATTGTCCTATCATAACGGTATGGCTTTCTCCACCAAAGATCGTGATAATGATAAAAACCCTCATAACTGTGCTGTAGACTTCAAGGGTGCATGGTGGTACAACAGCTGTTATAGATCCAGTCTAAATGGTGTGTATCACCAAGGCAACCATACGTCCTCTGCTGACGGCGTGGATTGGATTGACTGGGCGGATTATTCTGCTAAGAGAGCTGAGATGAAGATAAAACCAATATAATAATTGTCAGCATGTTGTACAAGCTGATAGCAAATAAACATTTAACCTGCCTCGACCGTCTATATATTTATGGTGTTTAACTATTAAAATAGTTTAATAAACGTAAATATCGACGCTTGGGAGAACGCACTGCGCATGCGTGAATCTAAACAAAATGGTGGCTATTCTATTTTTCGTTCAAATCAAAGGGAGTTTTATATATACTTTAGTACGATGTTGAAAATAAGACTATTCGTGATAGCACTGTGATAAGGAAAACCTTAACTTTTCAGTATCTTTCTTAAAGAGTTTTACGATTTTACGAATTTTTTTCGGTATCAAAAATCTTAAGAATGTTATCGCACATCTTCCGAGCGTGTGCGCAGTGCGTTTTTTATTATTATTTTTTTTATTTTTTTATTTTTTTTTATTTTTTGCAGTGCCGTAATTATATGAATAGCAAGAAATCTTGTTGCTATTGCTGTTGTAAAAGCTGTTCGTGTTTTAGTCACTCTCTTTTCAATGGTTCAATGCTTATCAACARTAGAAGGATGTGAATAACAGCTAGGATATGAGACTGGACAAGGCCATAGAATACAGGGTATCGCTTGCATGATCTATGATGGCGGAAATGCTACATTAAGAAGAATCGTTTTCAGTTAAACGTTGACTAATAATKACTTTTAAGTTTTTGCTAATAAAAGAACAAAAGAAAACAATAGATTGAGTGAAATGACGGTGAAACTCTAATTTATTAGTTTCTGGRTTTCGGTGTAGAAATCGATTCATTACGATTTTTTCCAGGCTTCTGAATCTGATTGTTGTTCAGTTGTAAAGACATAAACATAACAACAAAGTCATTTGCATATATCGTCTTTTTTATTCCTTGGCAAAAATATTCAACATAAAGTTCCAAAACTTATTTACTATGGTCAGTAAMTAACATTCCATTCGCTATCTATCTAGATTTTGAATTAAAATTCTTCCTCGGAATTCTATAAACCGTTTTAWCACTTTATTGTTGTCTTTTTGCCCTTCACAAGTGAACAATGTGATAGACTGTATTTTCTAACCACTGGTRTCKCCCTAAATWAAAAAAAGATAGGCAGGACAAAACCTCATCGTTTTGCATTCCTGAGGTGGCGATTGGACACTGGTTTGTTCAGATCATGGTATGAAAGCAGAAATTTGAACTTCGGGACCAATKTATTTTGGTTCTTTCAGAGCTGTGATTTTGATATTTTCAACGCTAATAATCTGACTTCGATTTCTCTTCCTTGTTATTTTGCGAGACTTTACTATACCCATCTATCAAACTTCTTATTAGAATCAAATTTGTTCTTTGAATATTTGTTTTCTGTTATTGCGGCTAAACATTTGTTTGTTCGATTAGTTCCCCCTTAGTTTTTGCTTTTTATTTGTTTGTTTTGTTGTTGCTATTGTTGTATATATATTTTTTTTATTGCTTATCATTTTTCAAGCTTAATTTCTGTCGTGACTAAATCCAAGTCCACAGCCGTGACGAAGCTAACAAGATTATTTTGAACGTGGGTTTCGYATTTCATCGAATTTGATATTTACGGATCACTTTACAAGTTGGAAGAGTTTTTGTCGAGTGTGCTGTGGTATTTGTCGTGGGAGTGAAAAGGTTGGGTTTCCTGCTTTGCGCAATAACAAAACCAATATATAAATCTATTGCTACAAGAGGAAGCTCTAAAGATACATTGGTCGTTTCACGATGGAGAGCMTCTTTATAGCTCTGCTTGCTTTGTGCTTTGTATCAGTTCAAAGGTAGGAATATATTTACTGCGTCATTAATTCAAGATCTTTGTTAGATGCATGAATCATACGACAAAATCAACAGTAAAATGCACTAAAAAATTTGGACTTATCCAAGGAATTCGGTCCTCACATGTTTGCATATGTTTAGTTAACTGAGATTAATTCCTTTTTGAGATATCTTGTTATTATTGCTGCTGAATTTGTACCGCCGAATTACTGATAAAAACTGAGATATTTGCTTTTAAACTCGATATTTTATATGATATCAAGGTAGACAAGATGCGTAGCTATTCAATATGAGCCCAGCATGCGGTGAAATACCAGTATTGATAAAGCCAAACAAACTCTCTAYTAGTCGCATACAGTATTCAATGACTAGTTTGACTGCACGTTTCAGCAGCATTAAGTGGGTCGTGGCGTATTTAATTCATGTTACACAGGAAATGAGGTTTTGAGGAAGTCTTGACATTTGTATGGAACGAGATTATTCAGAGACGTACAATACATTTTATAGTTTATCGGCTGACAAAAAACGCTCAAATTATTTTTCAATACATAAAACGTCGCCTTTTCGATAATATGTGTTTTTAGTTTGCATTCCCTCGTTTCCTTTCTTTCTTGTTAGAACATCAATTTGTCAAAAATGTTTTGCTTCGGCGACTCGTTTTTAGATAAAAGTCCACGAACAACAGCGTTACTTAACAATGGATAATAATAATGAGTTTCATAATAATTAATAATAACATTAATTCACATTAAAGATTTAGGCGATTTAGCCAACGAAGAAAAAATTGCTTGTTCAACATTTTTGTTATCAATATCAAATATCGCCTTATTCTCGGAAGGCCACCTGSAAAGACTTCGAGAGACTTCCGTGAAATTGACATCTCCCTATTAACCCGGGATAACTAGCCTCATTCCCAGGCTACTCTCTTTTCTCCGCCATTACGTCATATGCCAAAATACCCAGGAGAAAGAGCTGTAAKTAGACGAATYTAGTTCTAAACGAGGAGAATGCTTAGCCGAGCTAGAGCACATTAAGATTAGAAATAGTACCAAATACGAATTATATATATGTACGGGTTATATTTTTTGTGATCATGTTATYCTCCGATGGTATCCGATATTTTTTAGGCTCACGGATCAAATTTATCATCTAAATTTCAAATTGGGATCGGAAACCATATTTTTTTTGTCTGCGCCTGGCCTCGATAATACATTTTATGCCAGGTGGAGAGTGGTACTTGATCCAGATTTGAACTGGGACGTTCGGCTGGATAGATAAATATCGATACMCTGTATAAGAATATTATTAATAGAAAGTACAACCATAACCAAGACAACTGAAGGCCATTTGTATATCCTTGCAAAACCGTACCCCATTTGGCGAAACGTCTCCGTATAGTAAATAAAGTGAACCCCCCGGTTCAGATATATATATTTCTTTTTTTTTGGCCGCATCTTAGATGACAAAGACATTTTTCCAGTACASAACTTACATTATGGAATAGTAGGGTGAAACACTGACATATATTCTGATGTTGTTTGACAATCTATTTGATATGAGGTCATTTTAAAGTATATCCGTTGTAGCAACAAAGGAAGTTAAATTATTTCTGCCCTCCCTTAAATAGATGTATAGCATTACTACCACCACAAAGTTTTTGGCCAGACAATTATGCGCTCTCTTTTCTTTGAGATTCTGTTTCATTAATTTCTACGTAACACAATTCTTGGCTCTTAKCAATAATCCTCATTATATTTCTCTTGTCCAAATATATTTTAAGTCATATTTTCTTAGCTTTTCTATATCTTCTCTAGTCGTTTTGTTTTGCACACCTAGAGCCAGTTGTGAAGTGTCAATAGCGAGCGCTATGCATCAGTAAAATCCCTACAAAATCCAAGTATGAAGTGGAAAACTTTATCCACCTCTTATACAACAGTCACCTCTTATACAATAGTCCCCTGCTGTCTAGTGGTGACAAGAGCACATTGATAGGACAGCATGAACTGTTACGAATTCTTCACTTTTGATTTAAATCATTACTTGAATGCCATCTATCTATTATGATCGGCTATTTTCAACTGGTCGAGTCGCGTAAGGATCGGCTATTTTCAACTGGTCGAGTCGCGTAAGGATCGGCTTTTTTGAACTTGTCGAGTCGCGTAAGGATTAAACCGAGAAGTGCGACAAAGTTTCATCCAGACTTCATGTGAAACAAATAGTCGGGGTCCAAACCATTACGTCATCGAAGCTGAGATCGAAAGGGAGCATGGGAAAGCAAATATTACGAGAATGATAGTGTGTAAGATTGCCTGAGATTGTTTGCCTGCACTGAATAAAATGACTTCCTACTAACAACGGTATAATTTAGCATGTTAGTAAATCGTATTTGATTCTCTTTATGAATACCTTCGGTTATCACCTTCTGCAAATCGACAACGTTAATTCAAGAATACAACATGTCATTTTTCAGCCGTTACCTGATCACCACGTCGCGTATTTATCGCACCGGTACTGTRGAAACGTTGAACATCAACCTCTTCGACAACAAAGGATCATGGAACATCACAGCAAGTCTCARAATCAAAGATCGTACGATTGCTATAGCAACTCAAATACTCCAAGGCGACTCACAAGGAACGATGGAGATCAAGGTTGGCTGTGAATATTTTTGTCCTTAAAAGATTCATCAATGAATGTATTTTGGAGAAAACTTCCAAAATCAAAATATTCTTGGTTTGCGGTTACATGACTTGAGATCCTATTTTTACCACAAAAAAAGACGCCTAATTTTTAATATTGAGCTATTGAAGGCCCTGAAGGGATGTAATGTGACCCTGTATTTGCCTTTACCAATGGCAAAAAAAGAAAAAAACTGACAAAGAAAAAAAGATGAGAAAGGAAAAAAAGCAAAACTGTCAGCTGATATTATCTCGATCTGATATTTAAAGCAAGTTTTGGTAAAAATAAATATAAGAAAATTGGGATTTGGACCCTTGGACCCTTGTTTTTCTCCTTGATGATTCTTTTCTGCGGTAAAACATCAATGATCTTTTTACAGATTCCTCACAAGGTGAAGATTCCCCACAGCTCACGTCACAGACGAACCAACGCCCAACTTTCCATCCTTGGTTTCAAGGTCGGGTCGGAATCTGAGAGTTTTAATGAGACACAACCACTAAAGGTTGAAAAACAGGATAACAGTCTCTTTATCCAGACTGACAAACCCATCTACAAACCTGGTCAGACAAGTAAGAATCGATTTGTCAGCTGGTTAGCTCAATGYATAATTTCATGAATGAATGTCATAACAATCAAACAAATCCTATATTTTCAGTTCGAATGCGAATTATTGGTATAAAGCCTGATTTGAAGCCTTTGGATGGAAAGGTATGCAAAGAACTAGTTTGTTAACCCCCCCCCCCCCCCCCCTCCCCCTCATCCCTCCCAAAAAACAAAAAGTTGTGTCGAATAGTCTCCTTCAAGTTTCCCTTCGACATTTTGATTCGCCATGGAATCGATTTCACTAGTGAAGATAGCACATTCGAGATTTCTCTATATAGTGGAAGTAAGAAAAAAGGTATTTTACGACGTAGTTTGCTTTCATATTATATGATAAACAGAATATTACATGGTCGCTTGGAGATACGAATTTTATCCTCTCGTTTTCGCTACGCTCACTCTTGAAAGATCTTTTCAACACTCGAAGATGAAATCCGTATCTCCGCGCGCCCATGWAATATCCTCTATATCATTGTACACTCAATGGTCGYCTACCTTCGATGCAAAGGAACAACTACCTTTCAAGACGGCGCAGTACTGWTGACAATCTAGACAAGGSTCTCAGACATTTCAGTGACTTTATAGTCTTCTAATGACTGTTGCTTTGATTCATTGCAGCTTGAGCGAGTGACAGTGGTGGTAAGTGTTTTTGATATTGCTGAAAATGTTGTTTTCCAGTKTCRATATTTGATGGATTTTCCTCTTTCAGAATCCATCGGGCGTCCGTATGCAACAGTGGAACAATCTTGAGCTCAAAGATGGTAAGATCGCCCTCKCTTCATTAGCAACTTCACGTGTCTTATAGTTTTAGGCCATGTATGGTAATCTGTCGACGGTTGCGAAAAATGTTTTATCATATAATAATTATCTATGAAGTATTTCTCTCTTTTGAAAAGTTGTTGTTTTCACTATTGAAAATAACACACTTGAGGTCTCTCTATACTGTATATTGAAAGAAAAAAAAGTTTTTTTGCGACATAATTTGCTTTCATATATAGAGGATATTACACGGGCGCGCGGAGATACGGATTTTATCTTCGAGTGTTGAAAAGATCTTGAGGAGATTTTCAACACGAGAAAATAAAATTTCCAAGCGACCATGTAATATTTTGTTTATCATATAATTACATATGAAAGCAAATTATGTCGTAAAATACCTTTTTTTTACTTTCACTATATAGAGAAAGCCCTCGAATGTGATATTTTCACTAGTGAAAATAACATATTATTTGCACTAGTCAAAATATCAATTTTACGAAATTGAGAAATATAGATATTTCATAGATAATTATATGATAAATATAGGTATTCCATAGATAATTATACGATAAATATAGGTATTTCATAGATAATTATATGATAAGTAATTATATGATACGCAACGCTCACTTGTGAGAGATCTTTTGAACACTCGAAGATAAAGTCCGTATCTCCGCGCGCCCATGTAATATGAATATACCGTTTTTAGTGTAAAGTCAAAATATTATACTTCAATATCTTGTATTATCTTCAATATCTTGTATCAGTTATCATATTGTTATCTGCTTATGTGTAATCAGTAAGTGAGTCTGTTCTCAATTTTCAAGGAATGCAAAGTCTCAAGATGCTGTTATCTGAACAACCAATACTTGGGAACTGGAAAATAAAAGCAGTTTTCAAGGTATTTTACGAGACTTTTTCTATCCTTATTCATATGGAATAAAACCTTTAACAGWTGTAATTGACTATGACATTGTAAATGGTGACCAGAGAGCGCCTTACAATATTGAACTTTRGAGACTCAAGGTGAACTTTATGCCTTTTTACTTTAGGGCAAGACAATTACCAAGAAAATCGAAGTCTCTAAATATGGTAAGAATGACTTTACAACTATTGTACCATAACTGATCCAAAATAGCTCTCCACACATAAAAACAAATACTAAACTTCAGTAGTTACAACTTAGACGACCAACAGCAACAATTTCGTCGTACATCGAACCAGTGTGTAGATGTTTCAATGCAGAACCGATGATGAACACAGATCTAAACCTAAGGGCCACAGACTGCACGTGTACCTCCCAATGAAACAAAAGATGTTAAAGTGAACCAAATTCAAAATTTTGTGAGATTATTCATTAAAAGCCATTGAAARCAAGCCTGTTTTGAGGGTAATATAAGTGTGGAACAACCATAGTAAAAAAAGGAAATCCTTGCGCAAATGGCTATTGAACTAATATAGAATGCATTTGACAGTTTTTCGGGAGCATCATTTTATAGCTTACATCTATAACTAGCGGTGCTATGAAACGTTGGTTTAAAGTCCCTTTTCATTTCTGTGCACTCTCCCTGACTACGACCCTGTAGTTCCACAATCCCAATCGGTTTGACCGCTTTCATCTGTTTTGATCGAATAGTCATTAACTACAAGTTTTGGTTATCTAGTCTTGCCAAAGTTTGAAGTCACCATCGATCCACCAACATTCATTGCTGTAGACAGCAAGGTTGTTGATGGAACTATATGTGCAAGGTTGGTCACTTTGTATTCTATTGAATATAGAGCAATTTCAGGGGAAAAAAATAGGCAATAGTGTATTCCTATACCGAAATGCATTTTTGGTCCTAACTCATGGCCCGTGAAACAAAATCTGACTATCAAAGTGTGATAGACACAAAGAAAACAATGCAATTTCAGTGTATTTATGTGTATTAATGTAATATCTATTTCACGGTTTTTTTGAATTCACTGTAGTTGTAAATATTGAAATGTCCAATATGATGACTGATTAAGAAAATATGTTAATTCAACTCTGGGGATCATGGGGACTTTAACCCAATCAATTGTTCACGCGTCTAGGTATACCTATGGCCAGTTAGTGGCTGGAACCCTGAAGGTTACATTTCACATCAAGCAAAACTGGTGGTGGAGAAAGAAAGCTGAAAAGAAAATCACGGTTGAAGCTAAGGTATTGAATAAATATCAGATATAAGAGGTATAGTTTCCCTCTTTTAATTCTTATAAGCATATAATAAGCAAAAATAGCCTCGGAAATTCGACGTCATCAAGTGAACTTTAGTAGCGTCCGTAACGAACAGGATATTAATTTTTCATGGCTCCGCCTCTAACATAGTTTGTATTTGGATGCCCCCCCTCCCCTCCCCTCCCCTCAAAACCACCACTCCCCTACTGATGAAAATGAACGGTCCCTTATTCGCTGAATTCCAAGATTCATGCAAATGTTTGTATCAAATGTGGAGTTGTGCTGTGGGACACTAAACAACGAAACTAGCATGGTAGCCTCGTCTCCATATAGACTATGAGGCACCGATTGTTAATGATGGGAAATGTTTGATTTCAATACTATGCAATAATTTTGATGACTGCGATGTTTTGCAATGATTGACCTCTTTATTGCCAGAGAAATCTGTTATACTCCGCTATAGTTTAGTGGAGTGGTTCCCACGACCTGCCTGTACAATTCGCTAATATCACTCATCTTGTAAAAGGTAAAAGGATGTTACARTTTTGCCCTCAAAAACAAAGAGCTTGGTCTCGATGGTATGAAATATTCTTATCATGGATCTCGCCTGAATATCACTGCTACCCTAACAGAGGAAGCCACTGGAGTAACTCGTGCTGCCGAGAGTACCGAGACTGCTATTGTTCCTTATCGAGYCAAGCTGAACTTTTATGMAGGAACACCGAGATTTTTTAAGCCTGGGTTACCTTTCTACGGTCAGGTAGGTGATATTTGTAACATCASCAAAAATGAAAGAGCTGAAAAAAATAAARAAGGAACTATCAAACAGCGAAATGCACCAATCATATGAAACCTCGTTCCCCAATCCACTGGGAAAGACCGGGAATTTTAATACTATTTAACAGCAATAATCAACGGAAAGGCAGTTTTGAATCAAAGGTTATGATATGTCTAGCAGTTGCTCAAATTGTTCAAATGTTAATCCTCCCGGTATTGACCGTGGTTTCAATTGACTGATCTTTTTTTGTCAAATAATATCATATGKTCCTAGATGTAACAGAGACTAATAAGTGCAGTTAATAATCTTAGAACTCTGRTAAATTTTTCATGTTATCAGCTCCGCGTTCAGTCACCCGATGGGCAACCTCTCTCCGGGGAAGATATCCGTATTACAGCTAAGCACGGAGGGAAAACCTTTTACACTAAAAATTTTGTTGTTCAAAATGGAGTAGTAAACTTTGAAATCAAAGATGTTCCTCATCGCTTCAACTACATTGCTCTTGATGTAAGTATGATAGATATGACTCATAATCATTATTATGATTATTATTATTGCTCGAAAATTAGCTCGCTCTAAATTATCGTGTCAAACTTAGAACAAACACGCATCTAAGTACAGAAGACGTTTCGTCTAATAATTTCATCTCAGACCAGATTTATGTGGAGTAACTTCCTTTTGAAACTATGTTCCTTTGTACGTTTACATTGATTACCCATAATTTACTTTTTACTTCTACAGTGATTGCTAATAATGTACTTTTTACTTCTACCCTGATTACTCATAATGCACTTGATTTGCGAAAAAACATATTTTAGAAAAATGTAATGTCTAATCGGACATTTTAGAAACAATCAAAGCAGCTCTAGTTTCCATTGCTCTCTCTGTCGTAAAAATAAGTTTTATTATGCCGAATCACGACTTTACAAAGCACTCTTGTCATCCCACATTGAAAGTAAAATAGAAGCGCTCTTGGCTGTTCATAGCAATCGGTTGACATCCTGCATTGATCAATAAACAGGTATCACACCTGAGTACTTTACTATGATCATGGTCTTTTATTGTCTTTTATATCTGATAATGTCACCCTTATTAGTATTCTTTATATAGAGAATACTAATAAGGAGTATTTTGTTACTGAGATATAAAGGTCCATCCGTGCAATCAAATAGTCTCATTCTATTGGCATAATAACTCAGTAATGATATGTATGAGTTTTTCATATCTAATTACGAATATTGATGTTTTCAGGCTCGACATGGTAAAGGTGACATCTTTGGTAAAGACTATGCAAGCACAAACTGGTACCCCACTGCTGGTATTCACTGTACACCATGGTACTCGAAAACTTGGAGCGTATTAGCCATACAAAAGCCTAAATCATTAAAGGTAACGAACGTTATGCTGGAAAAATGGTGGGAACTAACGGTAAACTAGTGTGAGCTGCGTCAGTGTTTCTAAAGAAACATTTGTGTGAAAAGATAAATTAAACACCGTAAAAAAGTATGTGAAATAACTTACTGACGTCTCGGACGTTAATCCTTCGTCGGAGTAAAAGTCAAACATCTGTCAATCTTTAGAAAAATTATGAACAATCAATAAGCTAATTGTTATGGTTTTTTGGATATAGGTTGGAACCAGAGCCAAGATACATTTCAAGTATACGTCCATGGAGAAGAAATTTACAAGTGAACTTTTTTATCACGTAAGAAGAAAAAAAGGACATGTTTGGTTATAGATAGCCAATCTTTTCGACATTCTGAACTCTGATATTTTATAATCTTTGCTACGCATCGAGGCGAGTGATGATCTGGCTAAATTAAGAAAGAATTTTTACATTACATTCCATGATCTTCGAGAAATATTCCAGAAAAAATGCCATAATCCTTTTTCGCTTTTTTGCATTGGAACTGTTTTCTTGTTCTTTTTTTAAATTGATAAAACAATTAGACCGYAAGGATCAAGTGAACAACGAGTTAATAGCTCATGAGGACGTACTCGCAAACAAGCCTCCACCAATCTATAGGGAAATTCGAGAAAACTACCAAAAGAATGACTTTTCTCGACATTTGTTGCTATTTTGTCTTCATTCAATGCGACCATGGTCTATTATGAATAGTTCAATAGCCAAATATAGCATAGTGAAAGGTTGAGCTATATAATTCATGCGCAGTTGATTTTTGTGTGTGTTTGTTTTGTGTTTAGACCATATTAACATTATTCTRCTAACAATAGGTCATGTGTGGAGGAAAKGTAACAGCATCAGGAAGCAAACCGCTGAATTTTGAAGACAAGTCACAGMAAGCTAAAACTAATAYTACTACTRCAAGCAATAATACSGCACAATCAACAACAATTGCAAAACAAAAAACACRAAATACAACGACTACTACGAGTTCCTCGTCGCCTGGCAACCCTGATCGACAGTGGRYCTCACCTGTAGTTGGYCCAGTTGGACCAAGTAAAGATGAACGCCCAAACATTTCCAGACTTTACAAAGGAAATGGTTTCATCAAGTTGAACGTGATTCAAGCAATGGTGCCTTCATGTCGTTTACTTATGTTTTATGTCAAAAAAGATGGAGAAACCGTAGCAGACAGCAYTGTGATTGATGTGGACGGCAAATTAGAAAACCAGGTATTTAAATCAACAAATATCAAAGTATTTGGATCCTCTTCTGAAAAAATSTAAGGACATTTAGTTGTACCCAAAAGGCCTCCGTTTTGCATGATTTTATTTAGTTTCATATATACTACGCATCAATGGTTGCTTGATAAGCAATGTGAAGCGACGTCATTTTTTTCAACAAAGACAACAAAGCATGACGGGAGTTTTCGACCTCGCACTTTTTCCACGTCCACTAGACTTTCCAAGGCGTTTTTGCTCTTTCTTTGCGAAAATAGAAATAATGACCTTTCTACAAAGGAAACATAAAAAGGGTTCAAGGGATATTCTTTAGCGACTGCGAAAATTGAGACGATTACAACTCCCATCATGCTTTGCTGTACAAAATGGCGTCTATGCACATTGCTTATTATGTATGTTTTCTCGGATATGCAGTCATTCTGTTTTCATCTGGCGGTGATAATCCTTAACATGAAAACAATAGATGTGACTTAATTATTTCATAGGGCAATTGCTAAAACTCCTTTCCACCAAATAGTTGACTYCCCAGCTCTCCTCACAAGAAGGCTAGACAGGGAATCCAGTGATAGCTGCTAGTAACCGTCGTAACTTTTCTTCTAGGTTGTTGTTCGATTTGATGACAATGTCCGCAAACCAGGAGAGAAAGTTAGCATCACAATGAAAGCTGCACCAGGRTCAACTGTCGCTCTAGCTGGTGTCGATAAAAGTGTTCGGCTTTTAAAATCAGCTGATGATCTCACCAACGATAAGGTAYCTACTAAGCAAATACTGATGGATAAATGAACACTAGAACTACTCGAAGCACTTTCCATTAGGTTTGCCAGTAGCTAAAACACCGATTCGTACGTGTGCCAAAAGCAGTGCAATATTCAGGGACGTTTTAAGGGTTTTCACGAGGGAGGTTCCAGCTTTGATTTGTAGTTCAAATCATCATGTAAGACTTGTGCAATTATGTTGATTGCTATCATTATTCGCATTAGGTTTTAAATTTTCTAACATCTCAAGATGTCGGACCTTCAAATTATAACCCAAGACGAAGGAAATGTGATGGATACGACTACTGGGGAGGCTGGGGAGGTGGTGGTTTCGGAGGAGGCTTTGGACCAGTTCCTCGCAGACGAGCACGGACAATATTCCCACCCTACTCACGCAGCAGTTTTGTCGAYTCGTCAAAAGCATTTCATGTAAGTAGTACATGTTTCTTATTTMTCTTAAGACTCTTTTGAGTTGCACTCCATTATTCATACTGCAACATCGTGACAAATTCTAAATAGACGCGAGGGCGMCTTTACAAATATCGCGGGCGCATGMGCCGAAACTAGGTATTTACGGTCAAAAATAYATGCGSGCTTCGCAACRTTGTCCGAAAAAACTGGACCCAACATTATCARTGAATRCATCAATGTTTATAATCCTTGTATTAATACTTTGCAGACCGTTTATTATTGGATTCTCATTTTGAAACTGTTTAAAAACACCAAATAATAATTGCGCAGGATTTTTCGTCTTGTTCGCCCTTATTGACATACTCGTGAAGTATTTTGAAAAATGTTCAAAACTGCACAGTGCTCGAGTCTTCACCAGTTTTCTMTTATTCGTGAGATTTCAGCTCTGTGCTTTGCTCAACCATATCTTAATTTATAAATACAGTGATTGGATTTCCTACAGGATTCTGGTGTGGTATATTTCTCTGATCTGATAGTGGAATCCCGTCCATGCCCTAAGTTCTATGGCTGGAGGTCACGTGAGTTTGGGTTTGGTAAATTTTAGTTTCTTCTTTAAACGAATATTTTTTTACAATTGGCTTGTTGATTTATAAGACGTTTTTGAATGTAGTTAACGACAGTTAACACTTAAAAGTTGCTATTCAACGGACTTAAATGTCTGACACGATGTGTTAACGCATGTGTTAAAATTAGAGTATGTTCTAATTTTTGGTAGTCCTTGATGTAAGGGATGCTGGTCATCTCTAGCAAGAGTCAAAATGCTAACTCGGGCGAAGGGTTGGTCAACGAAATGGGACGAGAGAGTAAATTTAATATGCAGATTTTCTATGCAAAACCGTAGTCTTGAGATATAGAAACACAGGAGTCCATTAAAAGACGCAAGATGAACTCTTCCTATGAACAGTTTCTTTTATATTTTAGTTAATTCCCTAAAAATGCAAATGTTCTTCTTCGTGCAAATCTTTTTTCTTTTTAGAACCTTCCTAAAAATTATCACATACCAATGGTGGTAACTTTACTTAAGATTAAAAGTAACTCCATTTTTTTGACAAAAGTTCTGTAATATTTAGGGTTAGGCGGTGGAGGAGCAGGGGGCGCAAGTGGAGGCGCGGTCGATGGACCGATAGCGGTTCCTCTCGTAATGGAAAGGAACACTGATGCTTCTAATGTACAAAAGAAGAAAAAATCGCAGGCTCCAACTGTGCGTAAAAATTTCCCTGAAACATGGTTATGGATGGAAGAAACCATCAGGTAACTTATTGTGGACTGGTTTTATACTATCGTTGATTTCCTTGAATCTTAGCACTGACATTTTTCCTCTTGAACCTCGCGGTTTCAAAAATTATTTCCAAAAATGCTGTCGGATAAAATGGCAAATGGAACGGAAACAGGAGTCATGAGTTTTGCTAATTGATTGTAATAACTGATTTATACTGTAAGATAGTTTGTGTAAATCATTGGTTCTTTTTAGTCTCAATTTTCACACAAGATGAACCCAACAAGTGAAATTTTTATGTTAATAAACAGCCTTGTTCTATAGTCCCTTCTGCGCATGAATCTCCGTTCGACAATATTGAATTTGGTGTAAACAGCTATACCGCTTTGAAAGCCTGCATCGTATCCATTGTGACTTTCAAAATATTAAGAAACACCTCATGACGACAAACACATGGATTTGATATGATTGCATGAAAGAGAATTAATTATGAAGTAATTAACCGTTTGGTATATTGTTATTTTGAAATGGTATACTTTCACAGTGCAATTCTTTGCAAGTGTTACATTGTTCAGTACCTATTAATTTTTTACAAAGTAAGTGTTAGCTTGTTATGGAAAATGATAGTGATATTAAAATTGGAAGTCATGGTAGTCGATTTGTAGGTCGAAGTTGTTCTGATATGGGTTTTATTAAACATTTTTAATTTAATTTTTAATTTTTAATTTTTAATATTTCTAACAGCGATGACAGCGGTCAACGGACCATTAACGCCACAGTCCCAGATACCATCACCAGTTGGTACCTTAATGCATTTGCCATGTCGTCAAAGAGTGGTATAGGAGTGTCTGATCCTTCTGTATTGACAGTCTTCCAGCCATTCTTCGTGTCGTTCACCTTGCCGTACTCCGTCATCCGCGGAGAAGAAGTCAGCGTCATTGCAACAGTCTTCAATTATATGAGTAAATGTGCAACGGTGAGCAATAAATATTGATTAGTACTAACAAATAGTTGACTAGATAGATTCTATTTCTTACTTTTTTGTTCTCATCACATTTTGACGTCATCTTTGTCTCTATTAGAGTACAGACCATTGCAAAAAGGAACCATTTTATTGTATATTTTCCTCTTATTTTATGGAGTGCGCTTAATTTAAATGAAACGGTTGAACAAACACAATTCGCGCGCACTGGCTGGTTCTGTCCACAGTTAGTTACTTTTAAATAAGTAAAGAATAAATCAATTCAGTCTATTCCAAAATAATGTACTTGTTTTAATACAGGTTCGAATCAGCTTAACCCAATCAGATCACTTCAATCTCAGCTCAGATGTTGACCATAACCTGTGCATTTGTGGAAATGAAGCTAAGTCAGTGAAGTACGTTATTACGCCTATACAACTCGGTAACATACCCCTCAAGGTCACGGTCAAGAACGTCCAGAAAAGTCTATGTAAAAAWCCATCAGAAGAAGCYCCTATAGGTATATCTGATGCTGTACAGCGAAAGCTCTTGGTTGAGGTGAGACAATCTTATAACATTTTTACAGTTGTCATTTTCAAGATCGGGGCCCTGTTGTACAAAAGGTGAATAAAGTTCCCGGTGTGTGTGTGTGACCACGTTTTGGATAGGTACGTGCCGCCAGCTGCGCCAGCGGTCTAAATCCCTGACCCTGTTTAAGACACTAAAAAGTAAAAATCCATACCCTGTTCAAGACAAATCGGAAAAATAAGGAATAGCTATCTACGACGAAACCATCAAAACTGCAAATATACTGACATCCATCAAAGACAATAAGAAGTTTTTGATAACATTAGTTCTGGGACAGTGAAACGGTATTTCTACTATTTTCTACGSTGTTATGAAAATATTACCCTGTCCAAGAGACACACAAAAATTATATCCRTCTCTTTTATCTAAATTGTAGAGCCTGTTTAAGACAATTTCGGGTGAAATGTATACCCCGTTTAAGACAGCAAGGCCAAAAACCATACACTGGCCGGCGGCACGTCCCCGTATAGCAAATATATGGGAGTACCCCCCCCCCCCCCGGGATAAAGTTATTAGATTATTAGATTTTATATAGATTCCTGGATAAGGATTTAACCGGTGGATTTCGCTATTCATCCAATCTTATAGAGTGCCTGTACTCTTCTAGGGGCCGGTCTATATCATCGCGATATCATCCAACCCTTATAGAGTGCCTATACTCTTCTAGGGGCCGGTCTATATCATCGCGATATCATCCAACCCTTATAGAGTGCCTATACTCTTCTAGGGGCCGGTCTATATCATCGCGATATCATCCAA